ATTCAAGTCCAGGTAAATTATAAAAAGAAAGGGCATATTCCATTCAATATCTACAATGTCACTTATTAGACTAATCATATACATAAATACAATTATGAAAGTATTGGTTTCTAGCTAATTATAAAACAATCTAATGTTGGATATAAGAAACTCTTTTTTAGAAAAAAAAAATCCTACCATGGAGTAAAACCACAGGACTTTTTACAGTCCCCAAGTCCTTCTTTATGCTATCCAAACTTCAATAGTATTGCTGAACAATAGCAGGAAGCAAAACTTTTCCGTAGCAACACCTGCCCTCTGGAACAGTATTCCTCCTGGGATTAGATTAACCACAACCCTGCTGGCCTTTTGCAAGGCTTTTAAGACCTGGCTTTTTTCTCAAGTGTGAGGGTCAGGAAGGGGTTGAACCCACAAATTGAATGAATTTGTTGCTGACTGATTTGTCTTCATAACTTTTTCTTTTGCTGTCAAGTGTGTTCTATTTATTATTTTGTTATTGCATTGAAGTACAGGTAGTCCTCGACTTATGACCAGAATTGAGTCCCAAATTTCTGCTGCTAAGTAAGACAGTTGTTAAGTGATTTTTCCCCTATTTTACAACCTTACTTGCCATAGTTGTCAAGTGAATCCTTGCAGTGGTTAAATTTGTAACATGGTTGTTAAGCAAAGTCAATAATAAGATTCATTTATCAGAAGCTCGCAAAATGTTATCACATGACCTTAGGCCATTGCAACCATCATTGAATATGAGTCCGTTGCCAAGTGTCTGAATTTTGATCACATGACCATGGGGATGCTGCAATAGTCATAAGTGTGAAAGATGGTCATAAGTCACTTTTTGCAGTGCTCTTGTAACTTCACTAAATGAATTGTTGTAAGTTGAGGACTACCTGCATTTATAGTCTCAGCTATCCAAAGTGACGGTGAGAGATGGCAGACTTTATACATATACCATACATGAGCCACAGTGGCACAGTGGTTAGAGTGCAGTACTGAAGGCTGTTTCTGCTGACTGCCAGCTGCCTGAAATTTGGCAGTTTGAATCTCACCAGGCTCAAGGTTGACTCAGCCTTCCATCCTCCCAAGGTTGGTAAAATGAGGACCCAGATAGTTGGGGGCAATAGGCTGACTCTGTAAACCGCTTAGAGAGGGCTATAAAGCACTGTAAAGCAATGTATAAGTCTAAGTGCTATTGCTAATTGCTGCCATACACATATAATAAATAAAGATTGATAATATCAACTGTCATCATTCTGAGCCACAAAACTTGAAACACATGACAATACATTCTAAATCACAAATCACATGGCTTAATGTAGTTTAAAAGTTAAAATGTTCTCCAAAGACCCTCCCTCAAATCCATTTTCTACTCAGTTGACATCACTAATCTTCCCATAGTGGTGCTTAGACTCCCAAAAACAAGTTCAGCTCCCCCATCCACCACCAACATGGCAATACTAGACAGATGGTTTCTTCTTAAGCCTTTTACTTATCAAGGATGGAATGAAATCTTGTATATGTATCCAATATTGATTGGATATTTATCCTAGCGGTCCTGGGTAGAACTTGAAATCTTTACTACACTTGATAGGTCTTCTTTTCAATAGAAACAATCCCATTTCATTCACAACTCATGCTTATCTCAAATACTAGAAGTATATCACTGATATATCACACACACGCACACACGCACACACACAGATGTATTTTGTGTTTTAGGAGGGAGGCTCATTCAGTTTCGTTGTACACATGTTGTGCATTGACAATAAAGATTCGATTTGATTTGATATTTTTCAGAGAGAAAGTCTGGCTTCAAAATAAATGGGCAAACAAAAATTAAGATATATATCCAATCAAGTATACACACCTACACAGAATTATTACATAGTTCATAAGAAATTGACAATACTGCTATTGTCCATTGTGCATCTTAAATACATTCAAGACAATAAATTATGAATGCATACTTAATGAACAAATTAAATGAATAAAGATTAAAGTCATGTATTAGCAAATGGTGAGACCATTAGCACAAAAATATTCTGGGTATAATAATTGCAAGCAAGATTGTAATTGAATAGAGTTAAGCCAATTGGCTGATTGAAACAAAATTATAAATTATGTTAAGTAATCTCCAAAGTTAAGAAGCTTTTAACAATTATTTACAATTAGGAGATGAATTGCATATTGTGCTCTGATTCTGGAAACAGTTCATTACATTATATGAAAGGATGTGATAGTTGGATTGTGTAAAAAGAGGACTTTCTAGCTTTTGAAAAGTACTTCTAAAGTTGAAAATTGGACCATTCTTGGCCATAAACATTCAAAAGTGAGAAACAAAGGGCAAAATGAAATATGTGGCAATTAAGCTACAGTCAGAGGAACTAATTGAAAATCATCATGCTATTATTACATATGTATTTTCTTCTTATATTTCCTTGTATTAAAAAGGAGAATTTTTTCATTGGCAACAATTAAAAATTCATTCTTGCAGAATGCTGATTGCATATATATGTATAAATAACTAGCTGTGAAAATAGGTGTGAACTGGTAGAATCCCACCCCTGGACCTGTGGAACATTCTTCTCCCTAACGTTCAACAGGCCTGTAACCTCCTAGCTTCTGTAAAGCACTGAAGACCTTTTTCCCCCAAGCACTGTGACAGATGATGTGACTGCATTTCGGAAGCTTGACTTGTGCCAGGTTTTTGTTTTTAATGTTTAATAGTTTTAATACGGTATTGTTCACTGCTGGTCACTGCTCATAGTTTGGTATAAGATGGGTTGCTATACAAATGTTTTAAATAGTAAATAAACAAACAAATCATAATTAAACATTACTGAGCCTTTCAAACATCACAGTCTGAAGTTTCTCTTCCTCTGATATTTACTATATGTTTAAAATAGTTTACTATGTTTTCTCTATAACTTTACAAAGAGTGCATTAACATGTAAGGGTGAAAGAAAAATGATTTTCATACCTCTATTTTTGTTCGATAAAGAATTAAACGTGTAAGGTTGCACAATTTGGCAATGTGGTTGAAAGCCTGAGGTGGAATTTTATCACAGGAGGAGAAATTTAATTCCTGCAAATTTAAACATGTGTCAGCAATAACTTCCAAACAAGCCTCATTGAGGAAATGGCCACAAGACAATTCCAGGCGTACTAGTTCTGAACCACAAACTTTCAGGAATCTGTAAGAAGCATATATGAATCAATTCACGAAGAAAAGTAATGCATTTGCTTTTAATTCACTGTAAAAACTGGGTAAATTCCCAGAATTTCCAATGCCACATCTTAATAGATCAGGAGCAAAATTATGCATGCCTAACAAGGAACTATTTTAGCATAGCAACAACTTTCTCCAAGATAACTGGAAGGTAATCATGATCAACTCCAGTATCCAAGACAATCCAGATAGCCAATGATTCTTTGTGACATTGCAATAGGTTAAATTCCAACATGTAAGCTTTTAAATATATTTAAATTCATTTACAAGTGTTACAATTTAGTATCCAAAAATAATGGCATTATATTATATCCCATTATATCTCCACAAACAAAAACAATCCCCACTCCAAACTCTCCTGTAATTATGAACTACAGCTGACAGCTGGGTTTCATAATTATTAATATAAGCATTATTTGTAGTCATTTACTGCATCTCTGTTCAGTGTTTCCCATGAGAGGTTGAATTCACATACATAAAGGTATCCTGCAATTTTATCCTGATAACATAAATCCTAAGAGATAGATTGGGCTGGGAGGCAATGATTTAGTCCAAAGTCACTCAGATGTTTTGTAATGGAGACTTGAACATAGATCTCAATACATCTGGCCCATGATGCTATCAGACTTCCGTGCCTTCTGTTTTGAAACCTGTATCATATATCCTGATGTTGCATAGAAGGGCAGTTCCACTTCATATTAGAGTTTTTGTATGTCCTACACAACTCAACCCCTGAATTGGAATGCTCAGATATGCTTGTCAGTGTCAGGTGCAAATCAGATGGAAAAAGCCCAAGGAAAGGAAGCTGATCCTGAGACAAAACTAATTTTTCAGAACAGAAACTACAATCCATGCAATCTAACCTGCTTTTATTCATCTGAAACAGTTCAAGCAAAACAAGAAAATAGCAGAGCAAAAAAATTAAATCACTTCACGCAGCAGTCAAATTACATGGCTAAGTCGTTAGATTAAAAAAAAATCAGAATAAATTAATTTGTATTGATTCATTCATTGTTTAAAATGTCACCAGATGTAAAGAAGGGTTTTTTATTTTTAAAGGAGGAATATTGCTTTAATGTAGATATTTCATGTTGCCAAAGCATTTAAACAGAATTAAATGTTCTTCTGTTACAGAAGAAACAACAGCCTCTCACTACTGATATTTCAAGCAGTTTCAAAGACATTTACTAGTCTGCTGTTGTCAAAAAAAATTCTCTCAATTTAGTTTACTATATAAAGAATTTGTACGTGATAATATAACTCATCTATTAAAGTGCCTAAAGATTACTGATAGAGCACTATAAAATTATTCAGCTATATCACATTAATATCATTTGATTATACATGATTTATAGTCCCATTTAATATTTCTCAAATTCTGTCTAGCTCAAGCAAAGTAGTTCATTTAGCAATTTTTACAAGTGAAACATTACAATATTCTTATATAGCCCTACAGAGATGGACACTATCAATAAGTTAAATTATCTTCAGCCTTGCCTCAGGATATTGAAATACCTGAAGCATTCTGTCCTCTCACGGTAATATTTGTTAGCTTGTCAGCTATCCTAGATTACTATTCTAATTTGTTCTGTTTCTTATTATTAATACATACTCTACTAATATTTACATTTTCAGAAACATAAACAACATGTCTGCTGTATATATTAGCAGTACATATTAATACTAAAAGTGTATATTAACACTAAATGATGCTCACTGAAGGATGATTTACTCATTGTTTATAAACTTCAACAAGATATATCATATATTTATGTACAGTGTAAAAATATTATAACACACACTCTCTCTCTGTATGTATGTATGTGTATGTGTGTGTGTGTGTGTGTATACACACACACACACACACACACACACACACACACACATACATACACACATGTATGGCATTCAGCTTTGTTCGGGTATTTTCCCCACGTCATTGTAGTTGTGCTTTTAAAGTTGTAGCAATGTTTCGGCAGAATCTCATCTGCCATCATCAGGCTTCTGGGACAATACCCGAACAAAGCTGAATGCCATACATGTAAGTACCTGCGAAAACTTGAGAAAACATACATATACATATAAATATATATAATTCTTTGGAAAAATTGTCAATTATTCAGCCTATGAATTATTACTTTTTAAAAATAGAAAAATAATTATAAAACTGTAGGTACAAATTGATTATAGTCTACTTTTACTATTTACAAAATTTCCATTATCAACAACAAATGAAGTAACTAGAATTTTGGATGTGTTTTTAATCTGTATTTTCTTAAATGTTTGAATGTATAGATTGTAATGAAACATGCCAACATGTTAACTATCGTGTATAGCAGGGGTCTTCAAACTTGACAACTTTAAGATTTGTAGACTTCAACTCCCACAATTTCCTCCTCCAGTCATGTTAGCTCAGGAATTCTAGGACTTGATGTCCACAAGTCTTAAACTTGCCAAATTTGAAGAGCCTTGATTTATAGTCATGGCCCTTAAAAAATTTACATATATTTTACTGTATGAATTCTGTGACAGAGCCAACTATTAAAATGAACACTGGTGGCATAATGGTTAGAATGCTGTATTGCAGGCTAACTCTACCCACTGCCAGGAGTTCAATCCTGACCGGTTCAAGGTTGACTCAACCTTCATCCTTTTTAGGTCAGTAAAATGAGGACCCAGATTGTTGGGGCAATATGAGAAAGAGCTGTAAAAAATTGTGAAGTGGTATATAAGTCTCAGTGCTATAGCTATTAAATCTAAATGAGATTCTTTTGAGGGCAGAAAAATACAGACTAAAAGATATACACTTTCTATTATAGAGAAAGTTTGGAGTTTGAAAATCTGCCATTTCAGGCAATGGCAAGGTGTCTTAGAAAACAATAATGTTGAGATACTGGTTTTTATAAAAGACAGCAATGTTAAAGCAAATTTTCTTTGGCCAGTGTTTTGCACAGGACACACAATACACACAATACACAAAGAATTTACAAAGGCTGCAATTTTCTACCCCTTAGCAAGTTTAGCTTTTTTTAAAAAAGTCCAAACAATTAGTTCTCTGACAGAAAAACTTACTTTTGCTGAAAACTTTGTCTGTATCCTTACTTTTCCCCTATAGGAGGAGGAATTTACAAAACCGTTCCAGGAAGTATTCTCTTTCTTATCATGTTTACATACAACTTTAAATTTCAAAACCAGCCAAATGTTTGGTAGGTGGGGGAAAAATGAGTAGGAATACAAAAGACAACAGCAAGAAAATTTGAACTTTTCAACTCCTACTCTTGAAAAAGTGTCAGAACAAAATCAAATCTATGAAAAGAAGTTGCTAAAGCTGCCTGCCAGGTTATCTCTCTGCCACTGGATTTTATATCTTTGATGCTGCCAATGCATGATTAAACATATGCTTCTGGCCTTGAGGTATTATGGATTGAGTACAGTCATGTTAGTAACTTTTATTCTAACTGCTAGGTAATTGGGATAAAGGCAGGGGTGAGGTGGGCTTCAAAAAATTTAGCAAAGGGTGTTCTTCCCGATTGCTGGGTGGGTGAGGCCATGGTGGGTGTGGCCTGGTCGGCCTTCTGCACCACAGCAGGGGTGGCATTTTTGCAAAAACGCCCTCCTTGCGCTCCGCAAGTTCTCTGGAAGCCAGAAACAGGCCCATTTCCAGCCTCCCCAAATTTCTGGGAAGCCCGTTTTTCGCCCTCCCCGAGCCTCCATGCATGTCCTGCACTTACCTGCATCCAAAACGGGCACATGGGGACTCCTAGGTGGGCAGGGCCAGCCAGGAGTGGGATTTAGGGGTTCTCCGCACTGCACAGAATCTCCCAAACCCCTGCGAATCCCCAGCAGCCCACCCCTGGATAAAGGGATGAGTCTATGATTCTATTTTGTAGAATATGTTATACACCTCTTCAGAATACTGACCTGCTAAAAGCAGAAAATGAAATGGTTCCTCTGTTCCCAGTCCAAGATAAATTAAGCCACTGGACCAGGATACAACGAGACTGCAGATATTCTAAAGCTGTGTCATTGATCCTTGCCCAATAGGGTTGCAAACTTAGATGAATATATTGTAGTGGATCACAACAATGTTGATATAGTAGCTTACATGTCTGTGAGAGTCTACATAGATCCGGAATTGTAAGGTGACTCAAAATCAACTGGATGAGCTGAATTGAAAAACAACAATAAAAGTAAATTACTCTATTAAAATTGTATTTTCATGCTAGGTAAATAAAATTTTATTCTAATTAAATTATTCATCCCAATCTCATTTCCATTATTTTACTATTTTTTATTTTAAACAAAAAAATGCAGGATACAGTTTCTGCGGTGGTATATAAACTTCTATGATGGGCTTGCTTTCAATCTCATCTTTCAATTTTAATCTGGACTTCACTCAGCCTTAAATTGCATACTGGTAGCAACACCCTAAAGAGTTGAAGAAGAATTGAAATCTGATATGATTTTAATCAAATGTACTAAAAATTATATACATTTATTCTCCAGTCATATACAGGTAGTCCTTGCTTAACAACTGTCCTATTTAGTGACCATTCAAAGTTTCAACAGCACTGAAAAAATAATTTTATAACTGGTCTTTGAACTTAGAACCTCATAGCATCCCCACTTTACATAACTGAAATGGTGGTGTTTCTCAATTGGCGGGCATTTACAATTGTCACAGCCATGCAGCCGTGCAATTTCCATTTGTATGCTTTACAGCTGGCTTCTGGCAAGCAGAGTCAAGGATAAGCCAGCAGTAAAAACACAAGTCACCCACATGTCTTGCTTAATGACCAGCAGTGATTCATTTTAAAACTGAATGGGAAGTGCTATAAATCCATTCCAGTCATGTGTTGTTTCGCTTAGCAGTCATGTCATTTAGTGACTGGTCGTGTTGCTGGTCCCAATTGTTTTTGTTAAGGGTTATTAAAAATCACAATCTGATAATCCAAATGGGTATAGATTAAGAGATTTTTTTGGCAGGGAGTGCAGGTGCCTTTGAGTTGTTCTTGATTCCTGGTGAGTCCCTGCAGTTTTCTTGGCAAAGTTTTTCAGAAGTGGCTCACCAGTTACCTTTATGCCTAAGGCAGGAATAGAACTCACAAGCTCTTGTTTTCTGGTCTGATTCTTTAACCATTGCATCATACTGGCTCTCTTTACATGAAGTATTTTTTAAACATATCTAAACATTTAAACTTTCACTTCTAATTCTGAGTAGAGTTCTTCTGCACACATATTAAAATCAGGATCTTTTATGCCGTGCTTATGATGACCATTATTGTGCATGGCTTAGCTGAAATACCTTTAAGTCATTTTATTTTCAATGGGACAGTAACACTTAAGTTTTCTTCACTCTTTCTGAGTTAAATGGGATGTGATTATATCTATTAAAAATAAAATGCATATAATTATCTCATCGATTATATAGGATTTGAATACATAAAATACAAAGACTCATGTTATCAGTAGCTCAACTGAAATCCATCCCTACCTGTTATTTTTTATGTTGCCATATAGCCTAAACTAGATTTCAGTACATCTAAGTTGGGTCTGCATTTTAAGAAATGCTTATGAGAGCTGTGGTTTTTGTATTCAAAGGTATAAATATGCTTCAGATTATACATTAGTGCAAACAACCCTAATTGGGAGTGGAATTTCCACTCCAATGTGATTTTAAATTGTGATACTGCAGGACACGTTGCTTAACAACAGTAATTTATGCAGTCCCCATTGTTGCTGTTAAATAAGGATCATGAGTCATTAAGCAAGGACCTCCTCTTCGCAACTTCCTGAGGGCTTCCAATAGGCAAAGACAATGGGGAAGCTGGCAGGAAATCACAAATCCTAGGCAATTTGCAAGCAGGCCAGTAGGTGGGTAAGGAGATGCTGCAATGCAACATGAGGACATCTAGGTAGGAGTGGCTGCTGCCGTATATGGGAGGTTGGGGTGCAAATGTAGTCAGGGAAGGGATGGCCGTTGCCAGGTGCGGGAAACATCCATTCCCTGACCACATCTGCACCCTAACATTCCATCTTCCCATATACAAACACAATTGGATGGGTTCTATGGAGTGTAGGGGCACTGAGGAGAGGCATGTGCTACAGAATATGAGATACCTAGAAGAAAAAGTAGTGGAAGTGGAATCAATTTAAAGAAGCCACTTGCAACTTTCTTGCTGGGTTCCTTATTGACTTTGCTTCTGGGAAACCATCAGGGAAGGTGGCAAATGGTGATTACATGACTAAGGAACACTGTAATCATAATCTGAATCTGAAGAACACAGAACTATGTCTGTCATTGGTTAATCAAATCTGGCATTTAAGATATAGCAGAGGGGGAAAAAATCACACATTATAGCTAAGATAAATATCAAAAGTCTATAAACTGTCTTGGCAATGGGATAAATAAATATTAGCCCAAGAACTAAGGATACAGAGTGGCTTATTTTATATAGATTGGTGATAAGACTGCATCCAGTAAAAGTTGTGAGAAGGACAAGTTATCTTATTTTCATTGTACTACCATAGAATGATCAGCCTAATTAACAGAACAATAAAATAACAGAGTTGCAAGAGAACTTGGAGGACTTCTAGTCCAACCCCCTGCTTAAGCAGGAAACCTTATACCAATTCAGACAAATAGTTGTCCATTGTTTTCTTAAAAACCTCCAGTATTGGAGCACCCACAATTTTTAGACACAAGACTTTCCACTGATCAGTTGTTCTAATTGTCAGGAAATGTGTCCTTATTTTTAAGTTGATTCTCTGCTTGATTAGTTTTAATCAATTACTCTATGTTGATTGACTTTTAAGATCATATTTAGCATTTTTAATTTTAATTTTAAAGCTTTGATAAAACAAACATGTTTTCACTAATTTCTAAACCATGATACCCATCAATG